CGGCCAGTCTAAAATTCTTTCAGCTAGAAGCATCTGCCGAAAAAACCGATGCCGGTAGCAACAAAAGCTGCGGGGAACACTGCAAAAAACGCATCTTCGCACGGGCAGCCCGTGCGTTGGCCAATTATTTATAATCATATTGCTGTTCCAGCTCATTTTTACACCTATTTATTCCAGGTATTTCAAGTAAACAGCGGACCTGTATACGATGATTGCGTGTGTCTGAAACAGCAATCTGGTTGTGCGAATTCACTGCAACACCCCACGGATAGTTGAACAGGCCAGCTGTTCGGCCTCGTTCACCAAATTTTAACAAAAAATCGCCACGCTCGCTGAACACTTGCACACGATGATTATCCTTATCGGCTACAACGATTTCATTCTGCAAATGTTGCATACTTGCATTACAAAACGACTGATTGAAAAAGTCGGCTGTTCCACCAGTAAAAAATGCTTTTTATGCGTTTTTTGCAGCAGTGCAATGCGAAAAACGCATATTGACGAGCGGTTGTCTGTGTGTCCGTGTGTGCGTCTGTCACGGTTTGTCACGACCTACAAAAGCTACCGGGCTGAAACTTTGGGGACTTAATCTACATGCACTTACGGGCCCCAATTCCCAAAATTGGCGCCATACCCCGCGTGGTACCCGCGTACGGGCCCGTCAAAGTTTTTTTCGAGTAAGTTCACAACTCGGAGATCTGAAGAGCTAGAAAGCTGAAATTTTAAGACAATGTTCCCCGTTCAAGTAAGTACTAATGAGCTCAAACCCAGCCCCCGGGTAAGCGTGGTACCCGCGTACGTGCCCGCCAAAATTTCTCCCGCGTAAATTCATAACTCGGGGATCTGAGATGCTAGAAAGGTGGAATTTTAGGGGAATGTTCCCCGCCCATGTAAGTCTCAACGAGCTCAAACCCAGACATCGGGCATACGTGGTACCCGAGTGTGGGCTCGCGAAAAATTTTTTCCAGCAAATTGCTAACTCAAGAGCCAAGAAAGCTAGAGAGCTGAAATTTTAAGGGGTGTTTTCTGCTAGTTTTAGCAGCCAGTCTTAATTTGTTTAGCTAGAAGGATCTGCTAAAGAACCGATGCCGGTGGCGATAAAAACTGCGGGGAACTATGCGAAAAACGCATCGTCGCACGGGCAGCCCGTGCGTTGGCCAATTATTTTTTAAACCAACATCAACCAAACTGCAAAAAAATTTTTGATCGAGACGGAAAGTCAAAACACTCCTTGCATTCGCATTCAGTAAGAGGCGAAGGCACTCAGCAGTAGTCCAAAGCGATAAACAAATACCACCATCAATCATCGATAGCAAAATGCTTTAGAAATTTTTTAAGGACACAAACTATTTGAATATTTCTGGCTAGGGGATTGAAAGAAGTCGGGGGTCTGAAGTCTTCTTTTGTTAACGCACATAATTTGTTTGGCACTATCA